TCAGAAACTCTAAAACTAGAAACCATATTCCTCAACTCTTCGAAATCCGCCATTTTAAACCCCCCGCGGGCACCGCTGCTGCCACCGCTCCCCCTCCCGCAGCCGCCAGAAACGCCGCCGCCACCACGGCCGCCGCTTCCAGCACCATCCTGCACTGGGAGCCGCTGAAGACGCCGCGGCCGCCGCCGCCGCCGCCGGGCCCCTCCCACTTCTTTCTTTTCAAATGCTAAGGACGGAACCCTCTTATTGCAGCCTCCCAGAGTGCCGGGATTCTAAAATGGCAACTACAGGCCCACTATAACAGTATTTCCTTACTTCTGTCTGATTCCATCTAGGGCTCCAGAACAGAATCATCAGGAATTCATCACCTGTTGCTGAACTTCCATGCTTAAAGCAGTGAGTTACTTCTCAACACTTAAAACAACTGGAAGTTACAAGAACATATAGAATTCTGATTTATTATGGTAATACATATTTAAAATGTTAAAGAAATAAACTATTCACAGTGAGATAGTTCAGTGGACTAAGCACCTGCTTAGGCAAGACCAAGAATCAGGGTTTGATGCCTATGGCATCACAAGCCGTGCCCACCCTGCCCCTGGGCGTGCTGAGCCAGTCACTGAGTCCCAGGGTGGTAGTACACACCTGTAATCCCAGCACTGAGGAGGCTGAAAACAGAAGGATCACTATAAGTCTGAGCTGCAAAGTGAGACCCTGTGCCATTACATAGTAAAAGAAAAAGAAGAAAAAAACCAAACAAACAGGCGGGGCGGGGCAGGGACTATTCTGCCCTAAAACAACTAGCCAAGAACAATGCCAGAAGACAAAAACAGATGTTCATTTGTTTTAAAAGGGAGACATAATACATCAGAGAACGTGAGAATATAGCCCACCAAGACGCTGAAAAACTCAACACAGAGTCATTTTGACTGTATGTAAGAATTTCTTCTAAAAACCAGTGCAATAACTAGTTTTTCTAAATATAAAAATTTTTAAATACTAAGATTCCATAAAAGCCTCTTCTTTCAGGTATGGTTACAAAGCAGCCAGCTTGGAAGAAGTATGTCTCCTGTATCAACCTGGTATTACTATGACAAATAAGTGAGAGGTACAATAACTGATAAAGCATTGGGTTTTTTTGTTTAACTCAGTAACACAGAAAGGAAATACTCTTAAAGATATTATGAACATTTGAAAAATGTTAGCTGAACTTGTACAAATTATTTATCTTTGGCACAAAGTCCTCTTTGGACAACGCTTATATTTAAATCTGAGACATTCCGTACCTGCTTTCTTGCCTGCGATAGTCCTGCTGCTGATCCACACGGATCATTGGCTTCACCATCCCTCGCTCAGCAGTGCTAGAGGCAGATGACACCCTATCGCTGTCCAGTCTAGTGGTACTCTGTGTGGGGAAAACCATATATTACAATGCCAAACAAGCTTTATGCTGGTATGGTAAATAGGCATCTCATGTGGGGCTGCCACACAGGGAAGCTGAGGGCAAGACCAGGCACAGCCACAGCCCTACTGACAATGCCGTGTCCATGGTGGCATACGCAAAACCACATGGCATTGAAAAAAAAAAAAACTTAAAATACAGTTTCAAAGAACAAGGAGTTGGTCATAAAACATGCAAAAAAAAAAAAAAAAAAAAGAGGCAAACAAAAATAATATGAGCATAATTTTTCAAAAAGTAGAACGCAACAGTGATGTTACTCCCAAAAGTTGCTCTAAAGTGAAATGTTTCAAAGTCAGAGGTCTGAGTATATGTACCACAAAGACTTGGGGATCTTTTGTTTATCAGTCTTCAGAATCCTACTCTTGATGGTTTATTGCCTAATAAATTGGGCACACAAACTGGTTTATTTCCTGGCCATTATTAACAAAAATGAAAAACATACATAGTGACCCAACAGGATATATTTAGTACTTCTAAAATACACATTCCAAGTACTTTATTAAATAAGCAAAAAGGATATTACCTACACTAAGAAAAACATCACAACATATTAAAATTTTCTATATACTAAAATTTTCTGTAGCAATATTTCTTCTAAGAAACTTATTGTAAGAAAATAAATAAAAACCATCTTTAATGGTTGATAAATTGTGTCAACTTGAGAATTGAAAAGTGTAGAAGGTTAACTGACTCATCAGGAGGCCAGGGTCCTCAGACACCAGGAGCTATTGAACAGCCAGCATACAACATAAGGGAGGAAAAGAGGCTTGCTCCTGCCCTCCTCTTGCTCTTGCTGTTTTGCTCTCTTCTGCTGCACTGAAGTGCTGCCCCAGTGCCACGCCACTCTGCCTTGGAGCCAGCTGATTATGGACTGAAACCTCCAAAACTGGGAGTTAAATAAATCTTTCCTTCCTTAATTTCAGGTATTCAGTATTTTGTCTCAGCAGTGAAAGGTAACCAAAGTATCATCTATATTGCTTACCCAAAAATTAACATTGAGCTTTATATGTTTTTGTTTCTCATACATTCCATAAGTGAATATAAAACTAGCTTTAATATAAAACCAGTAAAACTAATTTTCAATAAATACTCTTTTGCATGTCATAAGCATTGCAAATTACTTATTATATTATAGAATTCTACAATGCATTACATTGTACTGATTCATGACAGTTTGTCAAGCCAAAGCTTTACTATGATCTTCAAATGTATAAAGAGTGCTGTGACATCAATTCTTTATAAATACATATCTACATAAACTATTCATAAACAATTATATAAAATTTATTCACAAAAATAAAACTATTGTCAATGGGTGGCATTACTATGACTACTAGAAACATAACTAGTAACAGTGCAATGCATAAATTATAATACGCTTCCATAGTAGAAAATAGTTTGCTTTTAAGTGACTTTTAGTATATGTACTGCCAAAGTGAGCACTTTTAAAAATGAGAAAATACAACATAATGACTAAAGAAAGAACAGACATGTACGGAGAGACTGACCTGTCCAGTTATATGGACAAACTATGTCAATGAACACGAATTCAAATGTGTCTGGAGAGAGAGCTATCAACACAGCTGTGTGAACATATGTCAGTGAACAGTAGCATGATAGAAAGTTGTATCTGGAGAGAGAGACTGATTCAACTGAATGGGCAAGAGTAAGTGATCTAGAGCCTGACAGAAGTAAGTCTGCAAAGAATGAGAGATCTATGCAGCTCTGTGATATGTGTCAGTGAAGAGAATCAGGACAGAAAGGGTGCACAAAGAGAGATCTTTCCAGGCTACGGACATCTCATGCACAGGAGCAGAAGAGATAGATGGGAGGCTTTTATCCACTGTGTGGACACTGTAAGAACAGGCAACCATAAAAATGCATATGGAAAGAGAACTATTCAGCTGTGTGGTCATTTGTCAGTGATCAGAAGCACAACAGACAAGTGTTTGCAGAAACATCTATCCAGCTGTGCAGACAAATCCAAGTAAGCAAGAGCACGACAAAAAGGTGTGCACACAAAGATCTATCCAGCAGAGTGAGCACGTGTCAGTAAAAAGACTCAGGACAGAAAAGAGGGGGCAGTAGATGTATCCTTCCACACAGCTCAAAGCAGGGTTTAAAAATGTTAACAGAGGTTAACTATTGCTTATCGTGAATGATTTTCAGTCTATATTTTTACTTCTATTGAGCAACTCTTTTATGCTGGCTATACATTTTTTCTGAGAAATGGCTCTATTTGGCTACAAAAGTAGTCAATGCATTAAGTATCTGATGAGACTAAGAGCCTTGGCACGTTTCTAAATGACAGGGGTAAAGTAATTATCTGTGAAGCAGGATCCCTGAGTCTAGAGCTCACATTTCAGTCAGTCCATAAATGGACAGACATCAGATGATAAAGAATGCTACACCAAGAACTTCATACTGTAGTGTGACTGGGCCCTTACAGATGATCTCTTCAGAAGGTATGGCTTGGACAAGTGTTGGCTCTGTAAAAACAAAGGGCAACAGCAAGTACACAGTACAAAAGGAACTTCTGGTAGAATTGGGTATAGACAGGGACAGAAAGCCCTAAAGTCTATGTCCCAAAAGAGGTGATGCTGGAAGACCTGCTAGAAGGAAAATTGCTGTCTGTGGGAGAAAGCTCACCAGGGGCTTCACAAGCAAAGCAAATGCAAATTTTTAAATGTAAGAAAACAGAGTAAAGCATCAAAGTGCACATCTCTAATCTCAGAAAATTTAGGAGGCTGTGGATGTAGCTTAGTAGAAAAGTGCTTGCTAAGTACACACATGGCCCTGGGTTGATTCATTCCCCAGCACGTGGGGGAAAAGAGTGAAAGTGAGAGGACTAAGGGCAGGAATAGGGGCTGTTATTCATGATGCTGTGTGTCACCCATAACCCAAAAGCTGCACTGAATCCAGCAAGACAATCAGGGATGGACCTTCAGAGGCAGAGAAACTGAACTAGACTGAACAAAGAAAAGGAATTAAGAGAAATTCAAGACAGATTCCTGTGGAACAAAGCTGTGGAGGATGTATCCTTCTAAACTGGAGAGAGATTAGGGTAGAAGTTAGTTTCAGAGAGAAAATCTACTCTTGCCTTAGCCATGCTGAATATAAAGTATGTATCAAACATCCAAGGGGTTCAATGCTGATGAGAATACTCAAGATTTTACTGCTCACAGACCCTAGTGAACTACAACTTGAGGGTCCCTCTTTCCCTTGAATCTGGGTGAGTCTAGGAATAGTTCAACCAAGGCAAACAAAGAAAATGATGCTATACTAGCCCAAGCCTTGGGAAGGCCAGAGGCTCAAGGTTCTTGTGAGGTATTACACAACTAAGACTTCTGGCTGTCCATGAGGTGGAAGGGCCATGGAAGGAACCTGAGATGAGAGAAGCAGCTGCATTGTCTCAGTACAGTCTAGACACTGAGTGTCCTGCTGGCTGAATGTAGCCAACAAGTAACCATCAGAAAGATAAGCAAACCGACTGCTCCAGGAAGCTCAAACTAGACCACACTCCTCTGTGCAAATAAAATGGCTGCTGTTTTAGTACAATAAGTTCTAAAGTGGTTTGTTGGTCAGCAGTAGAAATCCAAGTGAGAAAAGAAATGAACTAACTATACTAAAACTAAGGAAAACTGAAAAGGGACAGTGTCTTGAGGCCACCCAGAAGGCAAACTAGCACTGATGTTGAAGATAACAGCAGACCCATTTTATCTTTAGGTGCAATCTAGCCCAGGAGGGCTGTTACGGCTTTTTATCTAGATGTTCCCCCAAAGCCTCATGTTGTCATTCGTAAGTGGGGCTTTACAAAAATGGTTGTATCTAGCATGTGTGATGCTGAGATTAAAGGTGTAATGCTAGTATTAAGGGTGCCCCCACATGGAGAGGCACCAATCAATAAACTTATAGCTTGGATAGAATATAAAGGGAGAAGAGAAATGGTGCTTCTGCGGTTTCCCTGATGCTATTTCTTGCTGTATGTTGCCTTCTGCCCGCCATGCCATGAACTGTTGTTTCTCCTCTGTGATGCTCCTTTGTTATGCTTAGAGCCAGAAGGATAAGAGCCTAAGAGCCAGTTGACTATGGACTGAAACCTCTACAAACTGTGAGCTAAAATAAACCTTTTCTCCTTTTAACTTTGGTTGTCAAGTACTTTGTCTCAGCAATCACAAAAGTAACTAAGACAAGGGCTAACCTCAAACCAGTGAAGTCTAGGAAACATGTACTACATGTGGATGAGAAAGCACAATGTTCTGGCTGAGGGAAAAAGCAGCAAATAGCCCCATACCTCTCCTTCACACATCTCCACAAGATACACCACATGATGGTATAATCCATGGGGAGCACTGTGAATGCTACGTAGGAGAGCCCTGAGTATTTTACCAGCGTATCTGTCCATGATATTCTACAATGTTAAACACATAGGCCAATTAGGTCATATATATGTAATTACCTACCCTGCTTGTTGGCAATGCTGTTCCACTGTGAACATCTCCTCCCAAGTCAAAGGTTGTCTCCTGAACAGTTCTGTCAAGATAAAAAAACAAAACAAAACAAAACCACAGAGAATTAACTTTCAACCAACAGTACAAAGTCTCTTCTACATAAAACATGGGAAACAGTTTAGCTAAACACACCAGTGTTCAAAGATCATCCAGAAATTGCTTTATAACTGGGCACAGCGGCACATGCCTACAGTCTTAGCTACTAGAGAGACTGAGGCACAAGGACCACAAGTTTGAGGCCAGCCAGGGAAATTCAGCAAGACCCTGTTTCAATATAAAAAGGACTAGTCATATAGCTCAGTGGTAGAGGTACTTGCCTGCCTAGCATGTAGGCAGCTTTGGGATCAATCCCCAGCATCACATTAAAAAACAAAACAAAAAAACAAACAAAAATCTTTTATTTTCAAAACAGAAACTTACAGCATAAAAATATACAAAAACAAAAACACCCCAAATCAATGGTAAATTTAAGAAAGTTTCTTATTGGTGTATGCTGAATACTTTAATAATCATATTTTTTTCAAAAACATTTGTGGGGCCAGGAAGATAGCTCAGTAGAATAAGCACTTCCCTGGCAAGTGCAAGAGTATGAATTCAATCCCCGGTTCTGGAAAAAAAAAAAAAACAAACAAACTTGCCAACACCATTTGTGGATATGGTGAAGGTAAAGGGGACCACAGAAATGAGGAATCGCCTTTCTGCTTGAAAGCCATCTGACAGTGCTATCACTACTTACAGTACAATAAAGAAATGGGAAGCTTTTGATAAAGTTAGTAGTCAAATCCAGAGCTACCTTAGGTTGAACAACTTTTTAAAATAACTCAAAAACTTCTTAATTAAATAAAACTACATCATTAGAAAAACAGCTCAGAATACAAACAAAAATCTCATTTTTAAGAGTTAAAAAAAGCTGAGGGAAGCTATATACTTCAGCATAAATGAAGGATGAATGCATATTATTCACCTTAAATAAGGGAGAAAAAAGAGAAAGCTACCTAGAAACTAACCAGGATGAATTACTTGTTAAATTTCCTGGATTGCTATGCAGAATAATAAAAAAGAAATGACATATCTTTTGTTCTAATATTTCAGAAATACATGGTTTAATCTTTAAAGTATCCTGGTACTTAAGTTATTGAATCTGTAGAACGAAACAAGGAATGGTACAAAAGTTCAATTTGTCACATTGGAAAAGCAGATACAAATTGTTCTTACCCCATTACTAAGAAAATAAAACTATCTTACAATGCAAAACAATACTATACTTTAAATAGTAACTTTTGCGAAGTAAAAACTTTTATGAAAGACTTTTCAACTTTCTGCACACAATTTTATGCATTATATCAAGTTTTTAAAAATTAAAATACTCATGTCCTCAAGATATTCACAAAAACATGGAAATATTCTACAAGCTCCTATTAATTTATGAAAATCTGTTTTTTGTTTTTGTTTTTGTACTGGGAATTGAACTCAGGACCTTGTGCTTGCCAGGCAGGAGCTTAAGCCACTGAGCTATCTCCCCAGCCCCCAGCCCCTATTAATTTTAATGAGAAATTCAGTTCAACTGTTTACTCCCTGACAGTGGACATAAAAATGCTACACCTCACCTTCTGTCAAAGACACACACATAGGTTAGGTTGCCATCTTTAACTTTTCCTTAGGGAAAATATATGAGTATAACCAAAGCCTTGATTCTTTTTTATAATTAACATCCTAGAATAACGACTTTACAATACCACATAAGTCTTTTTTTTTTACCTTACCCAATGCTGCCTCTGTTATGCTTTAATACAGGCTCACTTGTACTACTCTGGATGTGTGAACAAATCTAAAGTGACTATACATTACTTCAGTTACTGAACCAGGAACTTTGACTGTAAGAACCATTTCCCTCTCTCAAGTATTCTGAATACCATAATATCACATCGTATGGCTGTTTAGTGGACATAGAAAGATGCACAAATATGGGTCTAAGGGTATCACCCGAGGTCCCTACAATTCCCAAAATAAAAATTAGCATTAAACACTGCTACTTGCTAGTAACCAAGCCAAGGCGCTGAAGGTAAATTCTGAAATCTGCAGTTTAGAGTATGCAGTATTTACCCACAAGTTGTTTGGAGATCTGACATTAGACAAAATGGTTATAAAAAAAGATTTTTTCCTAATTTATGGATGATGCATTCAACCATTACACAACGTTCAACAGCTTAGCCAGAAAATAATAATAATAATATTTCACAACATTCTCCTGACTGAAACCTAAGTCATAATCTTATATTGTGGCTAGGAACATGATAAGAAGAAACAATATTAGGTTTCTAAACAGGAATCATGTGGCTAAAATACAGAGGGAGAACGACTTAACTCAGATACAGAAAAACTTCACAAAGCAAAGCTGAAGGGCTGATTAAGTGTAGACAGATAATATGCCTAAAATCCCACATATACCCAGTGGCAGATATAGGCAGAAGCATAGTTAAGTGACAAAGATCAAAATAGATTTAAGAGCAGAAATAAAGTGCAACTGTAACCATGAGGCCATAACTGCAGGCACTGTTGAGAAACAACACACAATAAAACAGAAGAAAACATTCCACACCAGAGGTTCTATGGTCAGACCCAAGCAGCTCAGAAGTAAGCAGGATAGAAGGCCATGACTGTGAAGTAAGCAAGCTTTACCCTGTCCAGGTCTCAAAGGGAAGACGGAGGAAAGGCTGACAATTCACACAGAAAGCATTTGAACCTGACTCCACTCCATGAGCCTAATTAAAATAAAGGCAGGGACAATAAAGACACAATAAAAAAATACAACCTTAATTAAGAAAGGAATAAAACTGGCTGTCCCACACATGAAGTGCAAGAAGAAATGTACTGTAAGTTTAAAGATGAAACAAAGAGAAAGGAATGGGTTTTCATAAGAAGTAGACAGAAAGATGATTGCTGGTTTTCTTTAGGAATTTATGAGGTAGGATCATCTCCTATAGCTCAAGATGATAGGCTTAGCCAGCCCATGAACACTGTGAACATCCCTTTGCCTAAAGGAATATATGTGACGATAGACCAAGTGTTTGTCTTGAAAAAGATGTTAGTTCTAAACATTAATTAACACCTGGCCCAAGGTATAAGCTCTAGGTGTATAACAAGGGCAAGTCACAGAAAAAAACTACACAAAAGCAATGTTGAACAGTTCACTAACATACTGGTTTGTGGTCATTTTTAAATACCATGAAGAAAGGAGGACTGCAGCTATCTTTCTAAGATCATTACTCTATCAACCTGAGAAACATATAATAAAGTATCTAATAACCAGGTTTTTTTTAAAAAAATTATCATTATCAAAAAACAGAAGTCATCCCTCCTAAATTTCCCCAGTATGTGGCCACATTGCAAGTCCTCACAAAAGCACTAGGTGGAGCTAAAATGTTCTAAATTATTGACCATATTAGTGTATTTTGTGATCTGCTATGGGAAAAAACCAAAAACTTCAATAAAACAATAAAAAGCAATTAGTATTTAAACTTCAATTTTTATTTTACTTTTTTTTATTTTAGGGAAAGGTTTACAGGGTATTCAGGATCTCACTACTAGATCATACCGCCATGCCCAGTCTCAATTGTCCTCTCAGTGTGCCCTGAGGGCAAGGCTGCCAAGGCAGGCCTTGGGATTGAATCCCTGGCCCCTGCGCCTGCTTACTGGCACTTTAATCTGCTGAGCTATTTGGTTGGTCCTAAACTTCAGTTTTCAAGGTGAAAATAAGATCCTTCTTTTTCTCTCTAAAACTTACCAAAATTAACAAAGATAAAAGTCAAAATTACAAACGCTACTTTGATTTTTAAAGAACTAAAACAAAAAGTAAAAAGCCAAGACATCTATCTATACCTAACTTAAATTACATTAAGTATACTCAACACATTCTAAAATCTACACCTTACTCACCCAGGTTTGTGTCGTGAGCCCTTGACCATCAAGCCTCCATCCACTGATCTCTTTGCAAGGCTGTGGTCCTGGCTGGGGTCCACAAACTTGAACACATGAGATGCCCCAAACTGTACTTTCATGCCACTTTGCAGCATGGTTGTTTCTGAGATGCGCTGGCCATCCACATAGGTCTCTGCATCCATGCTTCTTGGCGTCACAGTGACCACTCCGTCCATGTTGGTGAGGTCACAGTGATGGGGCTGAATTCCTGGGCCAAACAACTGAAAACAGAAGGAAAATAAACACATTCTTATTGTGAAGTATATACTATTTAAAACCAGAAATTAAAAATTTTGAGTTTCCCTTTCATAATAAATATAATTTAAGAGGTTCTGAATTTTTGGTGCTTTAAATGGACCCAACACCCAACAGGATGTAAGAGTTATCAAAACAAAACAAAAAAAATGGATATTTAAATTAAACACAAAACTTATTACTGGAAAAGATACACTACTAAAAATGATGGGGTAAGAGTGTTTAAAACAAGAGGGAACTAGAAATATTGAAAGAGACAAAGATTACACAATCATTTAACTAGAAAACCTAAGAGAACCACCTGAAAGCATCTCAGAATTAACAAAATCCATTAAGACATCACTATAAAAAGAAAAAGATTTTGTGTACCAGCAAAAACACATCAGAATAGACAGTCAAGGAAATGTTTTATCGGCTAGAACACAGGAGCTGGGAGTTTGTCTTCTTGGCTGATTCTCTAGTACCTAGAAGTGTGCCCAGTACAGAAATGATGCTGAATAAATACAATAAACAGACTGATAATAAAAGCAAGAATACAAAGTAAAGGAATGAAATTAAAACACCACAACAAGATTCAAATACTTCTAATAATTTAACATATGATATAAATTGTATTTTAAACCGCAGAAAGAAGTATATATTATTCTATACTTGACAACTGAAACTATCAACTAGGTTTTTTTTAAAAAAAAAAAAACAAATATGAGATCTACCTTATACCTATCCTATCACAAATTATAGACAGACTATTTCAACATTACATAGGAGACCACTAAAGAATTAGAAGAAAAAAAATATTTGCTTTGTCTTAAGATAAAGAAATTTTAAAAATACACAGCAAAAAAGAACCCGGGGAAAAGATTTATACTGTCTGCTAAATAAAAATTAAAATTTTAGGTATACCATAGCCCATAAACAAAACATAAAAGATAATCAACGGGGAGAAACATTTGTAATACATGACTAATAAAAGATTAGCCTCCTTTTAGCATAAGATGCTGTTATAAAGCCCTATGAAAAGAATGATCATCCAGTAAGAAGACAATTTAAAAAGTGCACAGTAACACATTCCTAAATGGCTAACCCATTTATTCAGTCTAACAAATACCAAATATGAAAATTTGGCTGTGAACTATTTCTCAACTGACAAATATTAAATCTAACTTATGATGTTATGGAATATTCAAGAAAGTAAGTATTCATTAACTGGTTGTGAGAGAAAAGGTCAATTTCTGAGACTTTACCTTAAATAATAAAACATTTGATCAACTTTTATGTATAAGAATGTCTATTTTATCACTTCCTTATCTTCAGGCAGCATAACTGTAATATTTGCTTACTATAATAAGTTAATCAGTTCAAACTAAGGTACTTTACACTAAGCTCTGGAATTTACTTTTAAAATTGTAATATACTGTGAAAACCTTTACTTTCTTAAACAACTATCTAGTAAATCATTACTTTGATATATATAACTTATTTAATGAATCTCCTTAATTATAGCAGTATGCTTCATTTTTCTATGCATATGTTGACAAGTATTTACATAGGATATATAAAAAATAAAACTGATGCATCAAAAAAAAAAAAAAAAAAAAAAGAGGGACTAGTTCGAAGGGAATTAACATGCTCATAATGGGGACATAATTCATGTGCCCTCCTGCCAGATGGCCTGAACCACCAGTAGTAAACCGATGTCCCATTGGGCTGGTTTTTAAAATTTAATACTGAAAAGACCAATAAAAGTGGTTAGATCCATTTGTACCACAGTGGTTAAGTTGCCTGGTGGCTCAGTCATGCGTATATCACTGCTGGTTCAAGCAGGCAGAAATGTGTTAATGGTTGTATGTCTTTTCCTTTTTTTTTTTATTTTTTATTTTTAAGCAAGGGTCTACAAGGGTGTTCAGGGTCTCACTACTAGATCGGACTCGTAATGATTCTCCTGTTCATAGCCTCCCAAGTGCTGGGATTACAGGTGCGCACAACCATGCCCAGTCTCAATTACCACCTCAGAGCACCCTGGGGGCAGGGTTGGCACAGCAAGCCTGGGGATCGAACCCCAACCCCTGGCCCCTGCACCTACTTGCAGGCGCTTTAATTTGCTGAGCTATTTGACCTGCCCTTACTTTTCCTATAAAATGTTTTTTAAAAATTTAAACATTCAGTATACTTTTGTCATACCTTCCAAAATAAGCACTATCAAAATAATGTTAAAATGTTAAAATACTTAAAACATTGTTTCCAGCATCTAGTAGTAACTTAATTTGAGGCATATTTCAACTTTGCACTGAAAAGCATATGATACCTACAACATACTTATCCCAGCACTTGGGAGGGTGAGCAGCAGAACTAACACAAGTTCCAGGCTAGCCTGGGATTCATAGTGAGTTTAAGCCCAGCCTGAGCTACATAGCAAGACCTTGTCTCAGGGAAGGAAAGAAGGAAGGAAGAAAGGGGGGGGGGGAGGAAGGGAGGGAAGCAGGCAGGCAGGCAGGCAGACAGACAGGCAGGCAGGCAGGCTGGCTGGCTGGTTTGCTGGCTAAAGGAGAAGGGAAAGGAAAAAGGTGAACTGATAAGCAACAGGTCAAGTAAACAAGAAAAACATGTATAATCAAGGTAAGAACAACAAAAAAGGCATATGACCAAGGTAGATGTGTTGTGTAGTGGTAAAGCTTTGTCTACCATGAATGAGGGCCTGCATCCTCAGTACCACAGGTAAAAAATGTAAAAAGTCTATGTTCATGGTCATCCTAAACTTTTACTACATAATTACAACAATCTACACAGATCTTTGATTACAATAACTCAATCTGTTTTAATCACAAAATCACAGAATTAAAAACCTTACTGTTTGCCAACTAAGAAACAAGAGCAAGAACTTGTGGCAGGTTCTCTACTTTGTGCTGCCTACTGAATATGAAAAACTACAGCAAGAAGCTCATGCTGCAGCCTGATAACGCACCTGGATAGAGTTGTCATCAAACTTTTCTGTGCCAACTTCAGTAACACTCAACTGAAGGCGGTAAAGCTTTGGCTTGTCTCTGGAGTCAGAGCCATCTGTGAGAAGAGAAGAAAGAGAGCTCCATTTGCAGTCTAATATTCCTGTCATATTATTTAAAATAACATTTTATTAAAAATGAAACTACAGGTCCCACTTCTCAGGATTTCTTTACAGCACACTCCAACTTATATCATGCAGGTCAACAAAATTGATACACGATCTTTAAAGACATATGTACATCTGCTTCTGTTTAGCATAAAGTCTAAGACTACTACTAATTCCAACACTTTCTCTTTACATACAAGTAAACATTCTCTACATGCTGCCCTGGATTTTTGCAATAATTCTGAGATGCAATCATAGTACAAATATGAGGACTATGAAGGACATATGCACCTTCATAGCACAAAACAGCTGATGGGACATGTGAAATCAAGGTGGAGGTTCCCAATTTTGGAGTTTTCACAGCACCCCAGACCTTCTGGATTACTACCCACAGAATGAGAATTAAGCAGACTTTTTCTGAACAATCCTCCCAATGATTTTGACGTCCATGGCTAAAGAAAAACAGCTGGCAACATCCTCAGGTCCCTGGGGTAGAACTGGGATAAAAAGAAGGAAAACTATATTTGTTTGGGTTTCTATCATTGTAAACCTTCCTGAATTGTTGGAATTATTAGTTTGCAGGAGAATGACTTTCTAAGGCCTAAGAGATAGGAGGAAAACAAATGAAAACATAACTGCCAGGCCTTAGACTCTAATGCTATTGAACATGCTCACTCAGTTCTCAGCCACAATAACCAGGTGGTACAAGAGGGTGCCCAGTAATGACTTCTTTGATTTCAGAGTTAATTCCTAAGAAAATATGCCTGATAGAATCCAAGAATTCTGATACAATTTCAGTGCTCAACTGTACAGCAAATACAGATTCCTTAAAAGGCAAATGAAAGTCTCCCTGACCTAGTTCATGACTGCCCACGTAACTTTTAGAGTCACTTATTAAAATCAGGAGTCACTGGTATCAGGCATGTAAGCTATGAGAGCCTCAGAGGTTAAACATTTTGGAAGCCATGGGCATTTACACAGTTTGACTGCCAAATTCTCAGTCCTGTTGTGTCTGAACTCTAAAAGAAAAAACACACCATAAATTCACAATTTGTTACAACTAATGCTAGCTTTTAGAAGAATACAAAGTAATATTCTAATGACAAAATTTGATATTTCCAAATTATTTCAGGAATCTGTGATATCTGATTTTAGATATCACAGTATCTAAAGTATTTTAGTATCTAGTATTTTAGACACCAATGTCCAAATCTACCAAAAAACTGATTCACTGTCTGTGCTGCTTCCACTGGAACATTTATTTTCAGTGTTGTTATAAAAGTTCTAATCCAAATGAGACATTCAAGTCATCTGGGCCTGGGGGAACGGGTAGTTCCCCTCTCCTCTTGGAATGGCCACTATTTTATTTGTTTTACACACTGGCAGTTCTAATCAAGTACCTCTTCTGTCCTTCAGAGTGCCATATCTATCGTATCTCAGCACCGTGAAATATTTTTTGAAGACTACAGATTCTCCCCCTCACCTCGGAGCTCCATGTGGCTAGGCTTTCCCTGATCACAAGTAAACAATAAAGTCTTAATATGTTAACAGTGACTACACTAAAAAATGAAAAGCAACAAAAATAATAGTTACATAGAAACTATCCAAATTATAAAGAAAGAAAATGAACAAATAAGTAACCATGTCTGAATCAAGGTAAATTATTTCAATGCAAAGTTAAAAATATCAGAATACAAAGGAAAGATATATATCTTTGAGGGTGAAAGAAAACTTCACATTAATATTCCTCTGATATCTGAGTGCTACTGGAAAAATCTCCTGGAAACTAGTAAAGGACTGTTAAAACAGAAATATGAGAGAAGGGAGGGTCACACATGGCTTTCCTAGCCTCCCCTTCCTCACCATGGCACTGCAAAGGCAAATCTAAGATCAAGTCTGTGTAGACTACAGACCTGGGGGTAGTCCTAGCATCAGTGAGGAAAAGCATTTGGTCTGCTAAGCGTGGGGGAGACAGCTGTGCTTGGTGCCTCCTGCCCCTTCTCGTGGCAGGCCAGCCCCTGACCCCAACTGACAGCAGTTGGTCATCCTCAGGCACAAGAAAACCCCTGAATACATTCTCCCAGTGTTTCCCTTTCCTCAACAAGGCTTCTTCTGCCCTCAGTGTGTAAGCATTTTTCTTCCAGTAGAGAATTATAACATGTCTGGAAAAACTTTACAAGAGACAGCTTGGGAGTAACTCTACCATTGACTGACACAGCACTTCTGCCAAAAAGGTGCCTGTGTTAACAGAGTCCCTGCCTGAAAAAGTTTGGGACTAGAATTAGTTAAGACATTAAATCTTTAATTTCTTACAGTAATAAACACATTGTCATGATTCTCCCATCAAAATAAGAATCCCCTCTTAGAACATATACTATCCTTCCTGCCACTTTCTGAAGCAGTTTTGGAAATCCTCTTCAACACATGGCTTTAGTTAGTGTCATGGCCGCCTTGATGTCCTGAATCAATTTAAAATGCTTATCTTTCATAGTCTTTTTGACTTGAGGGATGAGCTAGAATGGTGCTAGATCCAGTGAGTAAGGTAGATAAAGCATACTGTTTATGTTTTTATGTGCCTGCTGGACGGTGCTTGGAAGCATCATTCACTATAGTTTTAACCACACCTGATAAAAACACATATAAAAAGGAGGACTTCCGGGACTGCTTCAGAAAGTGGCAAGGAGGCTAGGGATGTAGATCGGCCTAGCATGCACAAGGCCCTGAGTTAATACTCAGTACCAAAAAACAAAAGAACCAGAGAAGTGGAAAGAAAAGTGGAATAAATCTGCTTGAACTGAGGGAGCATACTTTGAGGGGGATTAATGGCACTGTGGCTTTTACTACAATAAAAATTTTAAAATTTGAAAGCTGAGGCAGAGGATTGCTACAAGTTTGAGGCCAGCCTAGGCTACACAGTGAGTGCAAAGCCAGCCTGAACTCCATAGCAAGACCCTGTCTCAAAAACTAAAATAAATAAAATAAAATGTAAACATGCACCTATATATTTTGATCATACTGCATACACCTTATACAAAGACCCTTAAGACAATTTCAAAGGGCACATTAACTATATCTATGTTCCAACCAATCTATTGCATGGGTTCTGGTGTGGTACTTCCCACTTGTGGTGTCTTATTAGTGCTAAAATGTTTCAGATTTTCAGAAGAGAGATGCTCTGCCTATACTGTCAGTACAAAAGGAAAATGCAGGGCTTAAACAAAGAGTAGGACACCCTTAAGGCACTTTGTTCTTGGTCTACAACAATTCTGTCACCCATTTTCTGTCTATGGCTGCTTCTCAGGCTAAACCTGAGAAAATAAGAGCAGCAAAATAATAAGCTTACAGTAACTAAAATGAATATTGGATATTCATAGGTATGTATCAAATGATAATACATTGAGTTTCTCACAAATACATTATCTGGTCTATCAACATTATTTTGCCTAGGAGGTCTGCTAGTGCCCCAATTACAAAAGTAGTATTAAGCATAGCATTACCTTCATAAGTGTGATAGCTGTAGTAGGCAAAGTGACTCCTTCTCCCTGGGGTTAAGACACATGCCAGGACCCAGGTGAAGGCAGCATCAGCAGGACAGAGACCATGCAGAACACGTGGGAGAGGGAAGGAGGAGAAGAGACGCAGAGGGTGAGCTTCAGTGAGACAAGTCTCAAAGGAAGAAAAGGTACATTTTACCCGTCAGCTTTCAGAGCTGTGCGGACAAAACTATGATAGTGCCCCAATCAGTGTTTTAGAAACCAGTGCAGACTGTTAAGGAAAACAGCAGGACAATAGGTGAGTTGCCAAGCAATAGGATAGCAAGAGGGAGTTAACCATATAGAAGGTTATCAACCTAGCTGGCTGACTTCTGCTTAAAGAACACATTCAGATCCAGTGCAAAAAACGAAGCAGCATCCTGCTCCCATTCCTCCAAAAGACAGTGTAAGCACACATTCATGTTTCAGAAACCTCTTACCCCACCTGGGCAGGACCTCAATAGTCAGAAAGGTACTTGGCTGAGAATGTGTCCAATGAAAATACCATGCAAATCCATTCAGAATACATCAGATGCAGAAATATTTTCTCATAAATCGAAAATAGATCAATTTCATTCAGCATTCTGATTTTGAATGGTTAATAGAAACACTTTAGTGAAAGGACAGGGCTTTGGTGCTAACAAACATGTTCCTTATGCTGTTGCTGCCCAGCATCTCCCCATACCTACATAAAATTCTATATACTGATATCTGAGACTACAATTATGGAATAAACAGCCCAAATAGAGATTCTCAGCACAGTGTGAGATCAGAGGGTCTGCTCTGTCATTGCTCCATATCTAAGGCCTAGAACAATGTCTGACACAAAGTAAAACTAAGAATGTGTTGAATGAATGAATGTTCTGTCTCTGCTAACCATAAAAAAATCTAATTTCAATTATTCATTTGAAGATCAAATGCTTTTTATCAATTTAAGAGCCATATCCTTCAATCTTAAACATTTGGATTTGAATAAAACAATCTAGTTCCTAGCAAATGGGTCTGTCCTTTAATACAAAACTTAACAGATCCAATGTCCACAATAGCCCCTAAATTTTTTTAAGTTCAAAAACAATGGCTGTATTACTGTTACAGTTCTTTTCCTCAAACAAAACCCCTTTTCACAATGTATAGACACACAGCAGTACTGACACATGCTTCCCAACTGCAATGAGAAATTGAAACTTCACATGAACTCCCAGTCAGAAAACTGAGGGGCACAGCAGGAATACTATGAGAGCTACTACCTGGTGCTACTCTGGAGCAAATGTTAATCAGAGTAGCATCAAATGTGACTATGCCGTTCTACATAATGTAAGCCAGCTGTCTCATAAGACTATAAGACTATTGGAAATACTAGTCTTTAATTCTAATATCCAGTTACAAGAAACTAAGTCAATCTTGGAAACAAAAAACAACACTGAGGAATCAAAGAAAAAAACAGCTCCTGCTCAAGGAACTATATATCAGTCACAGACTAGTTTTTCTGTAATTACAAATTGAGTTTTATTTTAAATGCAGTTCATAATGGGAAAGATGGCACATTATCTTCATAAAAAGTTAAATAAATATTTTAAATAAGAAATGATGTGATTTTGGTGAATGATAAATATGCAATAGATAACAGTGTAAATATACACTATGCACAGATGTGTGTATAAAGACACATTCTTTAAGAATGTCAATGTATTTCTCTACCTGATAGTTAGCTTACGACAACAGTAGTCCAAGAGTTCTACAAATGATATATGAAAATAAATTTAGTCTCATTATTATTATTATTTTGGTTTTTAAGAAGTTTTATTAGAGTCTTATTTAAGAAATCAAATAGCCTTCCACTTACTAAGATGGATTTCTTAGATGCAGTGTGAAATGTAAAGACATTCCTTTTGGACACTGTTCATACATTACCAACAGTAATACAACCCCTCCCACACACACATCTTCTACTAAATATGCCTTAGAAGAATAAATTTCAGTTTGTTGCTTTTTGTAGGTTAACAATTTTGCTAAAGTTATTTTGTTTTGCTTTTTTTGAGATAGGGTCTATGCTGCTCAGGCTGACCTTGAACTCACTATGTAGCCCAGGGTGGCCTCAACTCACAGTGATCCTCCTGCCTCACCCTCCCGAGTGCTGGGATTAGAGGTGTGTGCTACCATGCCTTGTGCCACAGCTATTTTGGAAATGTTTTCTTAAAAGGAAATAGATCACTTAAATCTCTCTTAAAACAGGCTGTACATTATCTTAAATTTTTTTCTCTGCAATTCTGTCCTTGAGAATTTTATTCTTTTTTTTTTTTTTTTGCGGAACCGGGGATTGAACTCAGGCCCTTGCGCTTGGCAGGAAAGCTTTTATTCCACTGAGCCATCTCCCCAGCCCCTGAGAATTTTATTCTTATGAATGAGTATATGTATTACAAGACTGTAATTTTTTTAAAGTAAATGTCCTTTTATGAAAGTTACTTTAAAAAAGTCTAAAACTTAAGTGAGCCAACAGGACACTTCTAAGATGCATTAAAAAATAGAAACATTAAAAGCTATAAATGTACTTTAATTATATTTGATGGTATCACCAGCTTTCTCACCTGGGCTTAATTCTACTAAATAGGGCAGTTTCTCAGGTGGAAGAGCAGAGCCGTAGCCAGACACATCAGCTCTCTCCTTGCCCTTCAGTGGCTTTCCTTCACTGTGCTTCTTTGTTTTCTTTGGGATGTAGTCCAGTGGCCTCCTCTTCAACTGAAAGACTAAAATCCCTAGAATAGTAACATTGGGAATCATCAACCAGATGGGCAGGGTAGATGGCCAGCTGACTGGCAGTCAAGTGCTCACACATAACCAAGATGAAATTTATTAACATCTGCTGAGAAATAAGAGAGCAAAAGCTCACCCAATTTATGCTTTCACTAAATGATGTACTAAGACCACAGTATGCTCTAAAACGTTCAGCAAACCATTTGAAGATTATTTTTAATTAACAATGAGCTACCCAAGCACAGCATATGCTTGAAAACAACATCAGTTTAAGAACGAACGAATCTTAGGGCCGGCTTGATAGCTCAGCAGACTAAACCACCTGCTTAGGCAGAGTACAGTGCTGGGGTTTGATTCCTGGACTGCTGTGCCAGCCCCACCCCTGGGGCACACTGAGATGGTGATTAAGACTGGGTGTGGTGGCATGCACCTGTAATCCCAGATCTTGGGAGGCTGAAAACAGGAGAATCACTACAAGTCCGATCTGTGTAGTGAGACCCTGAAGACCCTGTCCTAAATACAAAAGAAAAATAAAAAATACAAATGAATCTTACCTTCTAGATAACCTTATGAGCAATGAACATATTTACACACATATATGATAACATTGGCACCCACGCACACAATATATATACAGGTATACACAAATACATATAATAGTCACTATATACGCGCACACACACATGTAAGAATCCTATTTGACCTGGTTTTTATTTAATTCAACTGAATCAACTCAGAATTCAAAACAACACAAATGTGAAAATTAGAAAAAACTATTTCATCAGCTTTAAACCTCTACTGCTTTGAAATAGAGGAAACTTTTGAGTAGTGCCAAGTATGACTTCATTATAAGTTTAGCAACCCTAATCCACAAATATGTAATGTGATACACTACAAATTCCAAAATTTTTGAATGGCAACATTTTACAGATGGAGTAAAGACCTCATGTGATATATATCAGGCATAATATTGGCACAGTAAAAGTATACTACAGGCTACGTGCCTAAAGTATACACAAAACATAAATGAATTTCATTTTTAGATTTAAATCTCATCTCCAAGGTATCTTATTATATATATACAAATATTTCAAAATCTAAATCCAAAATCTCAAACACTTGTTGTCCCAATTATTACAGATGAAAAATACTCAACCTGTATCTGAAATGGCTAAATTTCTGGAAATCTTTAGGGTGTGTTCTATACCATGACAAATCTGTCCAAATTTCACCACAGCTCTGGTCAACATCACTGCCAAGAGATAACAATAACCTTGCACTGTTCCTTTGTGAGATGTGGTTTCTACCTCTAGTGTTACCATCTGAATAAAGTCTATCTACAAGGGTCAGGGAGTTGAGTGTGGCCTTACAGTCAGTGAGGAGACACCTCAGTGAGTCTATGCAGGAGGGGAACAGTACAGCAAAAAGCTATCAGAAAACATTAATGCCACCTGATAAAACGCTGGAATATCATACAGAAATTAGACATACTGCATATGTAATCCTTTAACAAATAAATTACTCTTTACCTTTGTCACTTGGCCATTCCCTAAAGATTTGTAAAGGACACTCATCATCATCCAGAATAATTTCTTTAGCACCTCTTTCATCAGAATGCTGGGCTCCAGGAGGAAGCATAACCTAAATGGAAAATAATCCAATAGTGAGTAAAACTAAAAATTAAATTGTCAAGCATCAAAAGAATTTACAGTTTTTGAATGAATAAGCCACTGTAGAATTAAACTGATGAAGCACTATAAAAAAATTCCCACTAGTCATTAAAAAAGTCTATAAAATTGAAAACAGTTTTAAACAAAAAGCTCAGCTAGCTATTAGACAGGTTTTATTCACTCGACCCTTAAGAACTAGTCTATTTTTATTTACTCATGACAAATTTATACATGGAATGACTAGAATGACCTCTAAGTAATTTCTTAAGACTATGTCTTGGGGCTGAGGAGATAGCTCACTGGAATAAATGCTTGCCTGGCAAGTGCAAGGTCCTGAGTTCAATCCCTGGTACCACACACACACAAAAAAAAAAAAAAAAAAAAAAAAAAAGGCTTTATTGATAATTTTAATTTCTCTAAAGTGCTTTCATAAATACAAGGTCTTACTATACCTACCACACAGCAAACCTGGTTTTTCTTTGTAGATAACCTGTCTTTGTGATTAAATTTTACGGAGCTCTTTCATATGCATTATATAACCATCCATTCAAAAACTTTTTAAGCAACTGTTTTAACAATTTGTGTGTTCTGTATTTTCAATTAATGACATTATGCCATTTTTCTTTGTGTGTGTGTGGTTTTTTTTTTTTCAGTCAAACATTTTGCATAATCACTTAAGACAGAAAAAAGAATGCATTAGAGTAGTGGTCAAAGATGTGTGCATTCTGAAGATCCTATACTATTCCCTCCTCTTCATTCTAATCCAGTGCCAGCACAAACTACAGCATGATTACAGAAAACACAAGGAGAAAGTAAGTCATTGTTTCCAGCCTGCAATGAACATACCAGCATTACCTTAATAGACCTTACAAGCAAAACCTACTGTCATGCACTCAGGCCAAATGGATTGGATGGCTCTGTAAGACCCAGCAATTCCCCCTTGACAATGTACTAACTACTCTAAAAAGACAAAGTTATTAAAGCACACTTTGTGCTAACTTAATCTTTCTTCATTAGTGCTTTGTATGAAATTCAATCTTCTGGCTCAGAACACATATTTCCTCAGCATCTGACCTTAGTTCATCTCTTTCATCTCAATCTTTGTCATATATCTTCAGAGCTATAACATATGGAAATACTCAGAATCCAGAGTGGGTACATAACTTCATACTTTCAAGATCCTTGTGGCTACCTCTCATGCCAAACTAGCGTCCTTGAGTGGTGCAGCTCAAGTCCAACTTCTCCATCAGCCTTCACTGAACTCTCTTCCAGCTCACAACACCTAGTTAGTGTTCTACTTCTTAGCTTTTCTGTCCCCCTTTATTGTAAGTTCTTTTAAAGGCAACTCTTACTTCTGCATTCCAATAAAGTATCTTATAAATGGGAAGACTTTAAGTATTTATTGAATAATTAATTGAACACATAAAGTAAAAAGTGAGTGAAGAATATGAAGCAGCCTCATTTTGCGAGGTGGTAAACTAAAAAAAAATACGAAATTTTTAATTCAGGGTAAAAATATCAAATGAATCTTGATCTGCACAGGCTAAACTTGCCAAAAAAAAAAAAAAAAAAAAAAAGAAAAATTGCTCACAAAATAACAACAGTAGAGAATCAAAATTAGAGAAGACTACTAAAAGAAATCAGCAAATACCATAGCCAAGAAAGAGATTGTCAGTGAAAGCCCCAGTTAGACTTTTATAACTTCAAAATCCTGATCAAGACCTTTTACTTTCTAATTTTCATTAATAAAAACCAGCTATAAATTACTAAAAAGGAAAAAAAAAACTGTTAGAAAGGTCATTATCACATACCAAAAGATATGTAATCTTAGAGATCTGACTGTTATCAGATAGCTTTGTACACTGAAGCAAAAACATTCCTCTGGCAAACAATTGAACCACAGGCATTGTTAAAGATTCCCCTCCATGTTGATAACTCAATGTGGAATACAACTATGAGACAATTAGGCCTCTGCTCAGTAACTCAGAAACTGTCTACAATACTACTTTGACTTAGAAAACATTTTACAGCAGTTACTTACCAATTTTAAGTATAAGGAACTCTTACAAAATTCACCATTTCTACAGATTTAATTATTTTATAAGTAAATTATGTCTCCTATAGGTAAAATGCTTGCTGCATACTTCTGAACAAGTATTTAATAAAGCCCATCCTTAAAACAGGGCATTAAAACAGTGTGTGCTGGCACACACCTGTAATACCAGTACTTTGGAAGCCGAGGCAAGACCACTGCGAGTGAATTCAAGGTCAGGCTGTATTGCACAGTGAAACCCTGTCCCATAAGAACACAACATAACGTACAACAAAACAAAACAGAAGTCTCCTCTACTTCACACTTATCTGCCAAGAGGAAAATATACCAGAATGTCTTCTACCTTAAGTATTCTTCTTCAGAGAAAAAAATGCATTCTGCCATGTCTGATACCTTCCAGTTAATATCAACCGCACCTCAGTTGGTATCCCTTTGGCTTAGTTAATAACACTATGGTTGGAAAGGAAAACAGGTCTGCTATTTCTTAGCAAAATCTTGTAATATTTTTTCTTTACAATCCAACTTTGAACACTCATCAGCGAGTACTGCAACTTCCCACTCCTGGGGCTTACAGTGCTGGATCGGGCACAGTCCTGTTTCATTCTGATGCCTGCACTGCAGTCATCTCTGATTTGTCAGTCAGGAGACCACTTATAATATCTGCACAACCTGAGAACTCTGTTCTATTATCATCACTTATCCTGAACTCTGTTCATGTGCATTTAAACAATTTTGTATTCTTTATTACAATTTTAATGTGAGGAAAACAGGTTTTTTTCCTTTGCAGCTGAAAATTAGGCTATATTCATAAAATTCTGAACCTACTAGTTTTTAAAAATGAATGATTTCTTAGTTTTTCAGGAACAGAGAAAACCCCTAATATGAATGCAAATTTTTATTTAATACCACCTGTAGTTAAGAAATGAGATACAAGGACCTCTAGACTGAACTCTCTGAAACACTGTAGGAACAGCTCAAAGAATGACATCAATGAAGAGCTGTCTGTACTCACAGGCCAGCAGAGTGGACAGTAAAGACAGCAAGTGTCCACACTCATCCATAGATGCAAGCCAAAGTCAAATGAGTCCCAGCAGGTTTTGGGTAGTAACTGAGAAGATGACACTAAAATTTACACAAATCAACAGGATGCCCTATAGTATTTTTTTTTTTTTTCCTCTCTCTCTCTCTTCTTTCTTATCTTCCAGGAAGTTTTCAAATTTGACTTTTTCTTTCTCTGGTTCCCCACCCCACTGACCATTACTAGAATAACTATTAAGCTTTATGAATCTTTAGATTATTGGTTTATTCTAGAGCTGTTGAAGATTGTACTTTTAGTTCAAGTAAAGTTGTTTTATTTAGAAGATACTGACTGTAGGTCAATATTTGGCTTGTCTTCAGGTTCATACTATAATTATAGATCTCTTCAATGGAGGATGGCACATTACTAATTCAAAGTGTATGTCAATTTATGGGTTATATTTGACATTACTTTTGTTGCTGACTTTATTACTGCAGCCAATGGGACATAGTGGTTGCTATTAACTGGTTTTCTCTGGATGCTAAGGGAGCTAGATTGCTTTTGTGTCATTAACATTTCTGTGTTTTATTGCCAGAGAACTGAGGACTGGGCCAAATATAATGCAGCCTCCCAATAAATGAAGATGACTAAAGTATGGGACACAGGCAAAGGCCAATAGCTGTGCTCTAAAAAAAATGGCTGAGAAAAAGATATAAACTAAAGAGATCTCCATACTAGCACTTACCTTTCCCACTGTAATCAAGCCATAACAACAAAAATCAAACAAATAGGAATGTAAGAAGCCAAGGCAATAAAATGCCTTCCCAAACTCTCAACTTCCCCAAAACTCATTCATGAGGCATGGAAGGGGAGAAAATCAAAGAAAGCCACACAACTGAATTACTCAGAAGGGTAACATATGAGATTCCAAAATATACCAATAAGTTGTTTGGTGAGCTGAAATAAGATACAATATAACTAAACAGACAAGAGCCTAATCAAAAACTGACTAGCAAGTCTACAGAAGATACTAAGAAAACATTGGCTGAGGCAAACAAAATCAGACAAAACATAAACGATAAGCATAGAAAAGAATTAAGAGTACATAAAAAACACCGAACAGAAATTTAGGAGTTTAAAAATTCTATCAAAAGTATGAGCAGTAGAGGTGACAAATGTGAAGACAGTTAATCTGAAATTATCATCCTAATTAGGAATAATAGGAAAATAAGAAAACACAAAAAATTAGATTCAACAGCTAGCTCCTAGATCACACAAAGAAAACTAATCTAAGATTAAATGGAATTGGTGAAAAATCAGAAGACAGCACAAAGGGCATAAAAAGACTCATTTACAAAAACAATAGCAGAAAACTCTCCAAGTACTGTATGGGAAAAGAATTTAACATACAGATAAATCAGACATGCAGGACCCCCAACCAGCCACAATCAGAAAAGAAGTTCTCCATAACATATCATAGATAAAATTCCAGAAGTAAAAATCTTCAAAGATGTTAGGGAAAAACAACAAATCATGTATGAAGGTAAAACCCACTAAAATTATATCAAACGTTTCAACACAAACCTTTAAAGCCAGGAAAGCTTCAAGTGAAGTGTTTCAAGCCCTAAAAGAAAACAAAGTCCAACCCAGAAATATCCTGCAAAAATATCTTCTAAAACTAATGAAGAAATAAGATAATTCCATGAAAACAGCACTTAAGTAAATTTATGCCCACCAAAACAGGCATTTCAAAAAATTCTCAAGGATCTCCCAGAGGAGACAAGGAAGCTAACAATGCTAAAAAGTCTAATAGAATGAATGACCAGTTAAATAGAAAACAAAAAAAGGGAATCAGCAACAAGAAAATAATGGAATGACAAGAATAAGTTAACACTGATTA